TTAAATAATACAAAATAATATATGAAAGATATTTTAAAAAATACATTTTTAAATATACTGTATGTCTTTAAAAAGGTCTAGATGTTGTGTACCTCATAATAGTGCATTATGGGTTAAGATCGGAGCATCTTTATGGCAAAACCCTGCTGTGCTCTGAGAAGCCTGAGCCTGTGTACATAATAATAATAACATGACTGGTGGGTAAGTATTAATTTTTTTTTTTGGTCTTTTTCTGTCTTAAATTGTATTCTTTTCTCTCCTTTTTTCATGCTGTGTTGCTTGGTTTCTTTTGTGATTTCCACATATGTATGTTTGCTTAGACTTCCAGCTACTCTGGTGATGGTAAAGGCAGCAAATGAAATACATTATAGCAATGTCCATAAGAAGAAGGTGGAAGTAATCCTTCCATAATACTGCATCTAGTGTGGTATTGCAGCACATTGCTGTAAAAGTGCTAATTCTCACAAAAGAACAAAGGATCCTTAATAAAACAAATGATCTATGTGATCTATTGCAGAGTATGGCAATGTGTGATAGTTATTATCCTAATTGTATGTTAATTAACTCTGTGTATTAGGAAAACACCTAAATATACTGTTTGTATTGCAATAAAGGAAACTCCTAGCTAAAGTTAGACTCTATTGTGGGATAGCACATCTCTGCTGTAGGTAATTTTAATGATTTATATAGAATATTGCAAATTACTGTTCTGTCCTGCAAGGAAGATTGCTACCTGCATAATAAATCAAAGACTATGAGATTTGCAGAGCAATTCTCTATTAGATATATTGTCATCGGAAATGTTCAGAGCCAGTGTTTTTAAAGCTACCAAAATATATATAGAAAATAGCTGAAAAATGACAAAACATGGCGAAAGAAATTAAATAATATTGAATTTGTTTAATAGTTGTAGATACAGATGTAAGCTCTATGAAGAGATGTGTTGGCATCTGTTACCAAACAGCCAGATTTCTAGAACCAAAGCAATAAACAAAAGGATTAGTGGTCATAGTAATAGTAAAGTGCTTTCCTGGAACTGGATGGCATTCTTGTAAGTGTACCCAGATGCTTTGCTAGAGAGAGAGAGAGATTAGGTTAGGACCTTGCTGCTGCAGTTGCTCTCATCCTCCATCAGCTTGAATGGGTTAACATCATTGCACCTCACTCAGCAGTGTGAGATAGCCGTGAAAAGAAGCTCAAGGGACCTGAATGCTGGCCACATTGAACTGTGGGAGTTGAAGTCCAGAGGAGTCATGCTATAGAAGTCTTTAGACCAGGGGTGGGCAAACTTTTTGACTTGAGGGCCGCAATGGGTTCATATATTGGACCCGGGGGCCGGACCATGAGTAGATGAATGATGTGTATGTGTCATCCATAGTAAGTATAGTAATATTCCCCCATAGTAAGCATAGTAATTAATCCCCCATATAGTAATTCATCCCCCATAGTAATTCATCCCCCATATAGTAATTCATCCCCCAAAGTAATTCATCCCCCATAGTAATTAATCCCCCATATAGTAATTCATCCCCCATAGTAATTAATCCCCCATAGTAAGTAATCCCCCATATAGTAATTCATCCCCCATAGTAATTCATCCCCCATAGTAATGCATCCCCCATATTAATTCATCCCCCATAGTAATTCATCCCCCATATAGTAATTCATCCCCCCTATAGTAGTAAGCCAAGTCCCCCATATAGTAATTCATCCCCCCTATAGTAAGTCCCCCCCCCTGTGTCAACTCACTTACCTTTGCTCCGCGCGTTCCTCTCGCCGTGTTCCCGCTCCGTTCCGGTCTTCAGGGCGGATTGTGAGAGGAGCCTAGCTCCCCTCATGTTCGTCACGCTGCCCCACCTACACACATCCTGACAGCCATCCTGACAGTATCACGCTCCACGGGCCAGATTAAAAGGTCCGCCGGGCCGTATACGGCCCGCGGGCCGTAGTTTGCCCATTGCTGCTTTAGACTATTGGACTACAGTTGCCCAGAAGAGACAGTTATAAGGGGGAGAAATCTGTATTTTCCCAGACTGCCGATGGGGCAACTTCCTCTTGTTGCAGAAGGACTAAGGTGAGCACTTCTATCCATATGGGTGTGCACCCATCTGACACAAGCCTGCAACCTGAGCTAGAGAGAGGAAGGGAGATCTTCCAGTGTGCTGAGAACCAGAATTGTGCTGGGTGGATACAGACACTGGAACTAAAGTGGCTGTATTGCTGGGACTGGTGAGAGGGCATTACTGCCATTGACTTGTTGCTGCTGGTAGAGACTGAGCACATAGGGACTGGACATCTGACAAGCAGCCTTTAGGACTGGGCCTGTACTGTACTTATGTGCCCCACTATAAAGCCTGGGCCCAAACTCTAACCGGCTGTAAAAAGTAGGGCAAAGGAATTTCTTCTCAGATAGCTGTTCTATAAAGACTTTACTTGCTGCCGATATAAAGTAGTACCTCTGAAGGCAAGTCTGGGTCTTAATATAGTCAGTGTACTCTAAGAAGTATAGTATACTGGTTGCAGAAAAGTTATTACAGCATTGATTACCATTGCTGTTATCTGTGCCATTGTTTAATGCTGACTTGCAGATTCCCAGGCATGGATTAATCAAACCATATACAATGGAGATCCTTATCCTAAATTGCTAGAGTATAGTAACTCCTTTGTCTAGAGAATTGTATTTGACATACACTCCTATATGTACATATTGTCATCTACTTTAATATGTTACAATAAAACACAGTTTTTTACTCCTAACCAGTTTGGTGTTTGCTTCCTGATGCTGAACTGTAGTGTGTGCAAGATATTTATATTTGCACTACTAGTACAATATCCTCTTTACTTAACCTGGAGTGCCAGATGGGCTGAGGTCATTCTCTGAGTTGAGGCAGAAGAACAGAGAACCACCTCTATCAAACTCTTGTCGGGTAGCACTACAAATATAAAAATGTAGGAGGATGAGTAATAGTGGACCACATTATAACTGACAACTTTTATCTATTCCCACGGAAAAAGCTGAAAATGAGTCTGGAAGTGATACAATAGCTTTCAGTGCTGGGTGATTGACACAGGTGGTTTTTGCCATAGAGATTCCTATTGTAAGCCCCCCTAACACTAACCATTCCTGTAACCTTAAAGTGTTGCTAAAGCCACAACAGTAAAATCAGTCTGTATATGCAGTAAATCATGCTTGCTATACTCACTGTGGAACCTAAGGGGTTAATCCTCTGCATTGTGTAAAAAGCTGTTTGATCTTTTTCTTCTCTGTTCCCCTTTTTCAAGTGACCACCACTTTTCAAGTAGGCCTGCACATGCTCAGTTTGGTGTATATTGCTAGAGAGTTTTTTTTCTTGGGAGAGTGCATGTGATCAGCACAGGGCCAATCAGAACTGTCCAGACAGAGGCCAGGGGATTTCCATCCTCCTAGAGCAGAAAGAAAACTCCTACAAGCTTTAGCTAGTGCCGGGCTGGGCCCAGATAGAAGCCACAAGACTGCTTTTTTACTGCTGATGAGAAAAGGTATTTAGTAGTTTATAATGACTAAAACAATTGCATTTCCATATTCTGTGTTCTGTGGGAGACCGGATATAGTGGATATAGTGGGGTTTAGTAACACTTTAACACCAACCCTCTCTGTAACCTTAACATTGAGGCTCAATAAACTTCACTGCAACCCTAACATTAACTCTAACACTCACCCTCACTGTGATCCTAACACTAATGCTCCCTGTAACCCTAACACAAACACTTACACTAACCTTCCCTGTGCCCATAAAGTGATTCTAAATGTAACTCTTTTTTTCTTTAAGATATCAAACGTGTCATATTGTACCTGCTCTGTGTAATTGTTTTGCACAGAACAGCCCTGATCCTCTTCTTCTCAGGTTCCTCACTGTTGATCCACCCCCCTGCCAAGTGCCCCTTTTTTTTCTGGTGTAAGAGTTGTGTGTTGAGTGTTCTGTCGAGTTGCTTGGGCCTGGACCATACTGGGTTTGGCCTAAGAAGCCTCAGCAAGTCTTGTACAGTGGAGCATCTAGTGGAGGTGCAGACTTGTGGGACCTGTCCGTGGCAGGAGCATGGGAGTCATCAACATTACAGCCACATCTTCAAAAGAGAAACATAAGCCCCCCCCCCCCATCACTGGACACTCATCACTTTGCTGAACACTACACAAGGATTGGGTGAGAGGGTTCCTGACCCACCTATTGTTACTCTTAGTTACAAATAGTTGCTGCCATTCAGGTTCTTTGAAGTTCAATGACACCCTCCAGCATAGGTTTTTGCAAATGACACGTGCAAGTGTGCTGCAGCCTGCCATCCTTTAACTGCTACCATGAACATTGCCTGCAAGCTACTGACTAAGTTAACCCCTCTTCTCCCTTCTAGGCATAACCATTTGACTACATCCACCCAAGTTCAGGCCATCTAAGAAGGAACTTTGCCACTTAAAAACAACTTCATTCTTTAAAGGGAGATACATTGGACAACCCCCCCCCCCCATCCTTTTTTTTCTTAAAGTGACTCTTGACTTCAATTCAATATCTTAAAGTAAACTTTTCTCACCAATTTCTTATATTAAGGAGGACTCCGCCAACCTCTTTGCCTCTTAAAAGGGATTATCCTGGTTCTTCACTTTTTAAAGAGATTGCACCTTTGACTGCGTGCCAACATAAGGACCTCAACTAGGCTGGCAGAAGAATCAATCTTAGAGTTTTTTGTACTTGGCGATTATTTTTTTTAAAGTACTGGTGTGCAAGAGGTGTAACAGACTTCCTAGTGCTTAAACCTAAACAGTTCTGAGGGCCTACAAGAGAGCTAGTTCTAGTTTTCTTGTTACCCTTTCATGTCTCACTTTGGGCGTAATCTCAGTCTTGGGGCTATTGTTTATCTCTTCAGTCCTGCAGGACAGGTAGGCACGCTTAAAGGGTGTTGTACTGTATTGCATTGTTCCTATCAGGGGCGGACTGACAACTCATGGGGCCCCCGGGCAATAGGGGATCATGGGGCCCCTGTGTCCTTGCCCAAACTCAAAAAAGCCTATGAAAAAAGGTACCAGGGGCATCTCATGGGGCCCCCTACTGACCCCGGGCCCTCAGACAGTGCCCGAGTTTCCAAATGGTTAGTCCGCCCCAGGTTCCTATGCTGATTTACCTTACTTACTGTTTAACCCTTGTTAACTTTTGAATTCCCCACCATTCTCTTTATTGCTATTAATATAATAGAATAATTTATGTTATAACAGTGCTTGCTTTTTTGTCTTGTGTGACAGCCAGGAGACTTCCTGGCCAAGTTAATTGGGTGGTGTCAGCAGGAGTGGGGCACCTTTTAAGCCCCAGTGAGGAATAGAGGATCCAATTATATTAGGGGGTAGCGTTACACTCCTCTCCTACACCAGCATCCTCTGCACCAAAGATCAACTTTTTTATACCATAAGATACCAGCAATGGGTTCCCGGAATCAATTATTTAAGTGTAAACATAAAATGACCACATATCCCTTAGATAAACGTATCTTCTTCATTTATAATGTATTTGTGCTACAAATTCCAATTAACATTCACATCACTAAAGCCGATTTTAAACTCACAGCAAAAGTCACCGAAAAGGTTGAAATGACAGAATACCAATATAGTGTCAGTTTTATTATCTGGAGCATTCTAAATTTCACAGTTGTTTGTTGCATTATTTATGTAGATGGATAATCATTTATCCAAGGATTCTGCAGCTTTTAAGTCTCTGTGGAAATCACACCATTCACAAATATTGTTAATATACTGTACATGCATGCACTAATCTCCTTTCAATGTGACTTTAAAGGGAATTTACTCCCCAAAAGACCACTTGCTCATAGAGCAGTTCCATAGTTCCATAGTCGGTAAGGTTGAATAAAGACATCAGTTCATCCAGTTCAACCTGTGTGGGTGTGCATGTTTTTGTGTGTTTATGTCAATACCATTTCCCATATCTGTATATTGCATTCACTAAGATGCTCATCTAAGAAATTTTTTCAAACTATCAACATTTCCCACTGACACCACAGATTGTGGAAGGGAGTTCTACATCCTTACTGCTCTGACAGTAAAGAACCCCTTACGCAGTTTAAGGTTAAACTTCTTTTTTAATTCCCCAGTTCACTAATTAACAATCTTCTGTAATGTCTGGCAGTGTCTGGACTACCATGTAGTGCTGAATTCATTGTGGTTACGGCAGCTTTGAATAATACGCCGAAGAGGCCAAGCACAAATAAGTGTTAGGAACATCTGATCCTATGCATTCTACTACTACATTGCCAAAGATAATAATTAAAAAAGTCAAATTTTCCATAATAATTACTCAGCACCAACAGCATACATATAAAAAGTAAACCGTTACGTCTCATTGTTTCAGTCTATTTTGCATCCAGCTTTAACAGTACAATTTGAATTTTGTTGAAAAAATACCTTCCATTTCAACCAATATACCCTGCAAAGATTTTAACCAATCTCTCATAGATTACACGATTCAGAAGACTGCTGTTTTCTACTTACTCAAATTGATTTCTGAGTGGCAGAGTTAGCATTCATTGCAATATGCCATCTCAGTGGCATAATGAGAATAGCTGCATCATATGCATTCCTGTAACAGTAGGCATGCTGGCAGGTGCAGTTATCTTGCCTGACACTACATGGCTCTGTTGCCATTAAGGCATGGAAAGGGGAATAGAAGTAGCTTCCTCCTCTAGTGATGGGATTTGGGAGTGTGGCCTTCTAGGCAGAGCTGTAGACAGGACATTGAGAAGCGACTGGCAAACTAAAGGAAGCACCTTGTTCCCCCTGATAATCAGCTGTGGGCCCTGTGACTTGGCGATGGAAGCCTAGGACTCTGGACCTGGCATACATGGGGAAGTGGTCATAATACTGTAGTGCTCCCAAGGAAAGTAATGGAGGACAGGGAAGATGGCTTAACTAAAAGATGTGTGCTAGTGCTCTGGACTGAAGTGACTGCTGCAGAATGTTTAACCTCGCATTTGGCATTTGCGCCGAAGATTCTGTTACTATGTCAAATGTGATATGTCACGGAAAGTATTGTGAAAATGAGAAGTTGAAGTAAAGTGTTGGAGATGTATTCATGTGTGGATATACCGATTATTCTTGTTATTAAGGCCTCAGGGCAGGGGGGTTGTGAACTGGCCTTTGGCCAAGAGTATGATACAATATGGTGGAGAGTTGCTCTCAACAACATGAGGGCGACTGTACTATATGAGAAGAAGCAGATCATGGAATTGAACAATTTGGTGCCAACACCTTCCCAATCACAGGTCCCTTTACAGGCAATTTTATGCAAAATATTCCCAGCATTTAGAGACCGATTCCACTTACAGCTACAAATTGTCCATGTTACTAAACAAAAATCTTCAAGCTGTCTTCCATACAGTGTTTCATAAAGAATTGTATGAAATGCTCACCAGAAGGGTAGACCTTATATACCAATGGGTCTTCTAAGGTTGTGCAATAATGAAAACAGCCACTAAGAGGTTTCTTTTTTATTTACTAAAGCTGGAGAGTGCAAGATTAGGCCCACTTCTGCATAGAAACCAATCAGCTTCTAACCTCAACTTGTTCAGTGAAGCTTTGGCAATAAAACCCAGAAGCTGATTGGTTTCTAAGTAGAAGTGAGCCTGATTTTTCACTCTCCAGCTTTAGTAAATAAACCCCTAAATTTCTCACTCCTCCCTCAGGGACTGCAGTTTTCAAGATTCTTCCCTTCTCATTTCCACTTAAAGGTACATAAAATAAAAGACAAAAACACTCATAGTGTAGTATTATGTATATGTATATATACCAATAAGTATTATATAGATAAACCAATAAAAACACTCATAATTGTGCTCACATAAAATGTGTAAGTGCAGTCTCAAAATCACCAAGGTGATGTTCAATCTTCCCATCCACCACCGAGTGTGCACCCCATGCAATGGATTCTCACCAGATAAAACCTATTTGGTCAGATACAGCATGCCCATATATTCTTTCTTGGTGACAGATCCCCATCCTTTAGTGCCAGTTCACATACAATATATGCGCATTGGATGCGGTTTGAATTGCATCCAATCTGCATGACATTTGAAATAACATTGCTTCCTATGGTGCCTGTTCACTTATGTCCAGTGCACTGGTAGTGTGGATTCAAAAAGAGTCCTGACCGATTTCTAAGCAGTGCAGATTACAGGCCATTGACTGCTATGGGAACCGTTTCTAAAACGCATATGTCATCAGCTGTGAATAGGATAAATTCCCTGACCTGAACCTGATCTAATCCTGTCCTGAACCTGATGTAAATCTGAACCACTGAACAACTACTTTATCAATAAGCTGTGACACCTGAGCTTCAATCCACACCGCACATGTGTGAATCAACACTTAGGCCTCCCATGTTCCTCATAAAAAAACATCTCTATAGTGCCAAATCATTTAAAACCACCGCTTTATTGTTAAACACAGAGCCGTCCCTAGGGTTGGTGTCACCCAGTGCGGGAACACTTGGTGTCACCCCTCTGACGATCCCCGCAGGATGGATCAGATCTGCGGATTGAACATAATGGATTGGAGTCCGATCCATTGTGCTCCCCAATCTGCAGATCTGATCCATCCTGCAGTTAAGTGATCTCTCCACGAGCTCCACAAAAAGGTGTCCTTTCCATCCATCCTGCGGGGATCATAGGCTTGCAAGCTATATGGGTTTAACTGATCGCTCCACGAAAAGGTACGTTTTAAAGCAAGCCGACAATCCCTTCAAGATGGATCGGATCTGTGGATTGGGGAGCATAATTATGTTCAATCCGCAGATCTGATCCATCCTGCGGGGATCGTCTGCTTGCTTTAAAACTCACCTTTTCGTGGAGCGATCAGTTAACCCCGTATAGCTTGCAAGCCTATGATCCCCGCAGGATGGATCAAATTTGCGGATTGAGCATAATGGATCAGAGTCCAATCCATTATGCTCCCCTTTAAAACCATTTCGTGGAGTGGGTCTGGTGTCACCCCGTATGATAGGTGTCACGCCCCGCACCTGCCTAGGGACGCCACTGGTTAAACATATGCTTACATGTAAAAAGGCAATTCTACCATATTAGCTAGACAATAGCAAACCACTATGCATGACTATACTTTACTCTCAATAATAATTGTTCAATTTTCTTTCATGGTACGGTCTAACATTTTGGACCATTTTCATGAAAAAATCTCAGAATACAGTGTAAAGAACCACCAGACAGTTGTATTTTAAGGTCATAGCCCTGAACATTGTATACTGCTGTTTGGTAGTAAATCCATCAATACTTCATACTTCAAGGTTCAAGCCTGACATCTAGTGTTGTATTTTGGTACTTCTACTAGTAGCAAAGTGTGCTAATTTTCAATCAGTACTATAGATTTAGAGTTTAGGTGATATTCATTAATGGCTAACTTAGGTTAATAAAAATGCAAGCTAGTTAGGTAAAACTACAACACAGAAGAGGGCGGTATGATTACAAGGAGAATTTCAAATTGCAATATGTACAAAATGACAAAATGTGGCAGACAGGTTGTTGCCTCCATAAGTGCATTTTGGCTTTAACTTGTTTTCAGCATAATCACTTGACAAGAGGTGGAGCCTGTGCAAAAAGTTTTACCAGTTTAACATCTGTAATGATGTATGATGTAGAATTCTGGTTATAGCAACAGTAGTATCAGATACAAAATATGTAATGTACTGGATAAGATACATGTTACTGATTAGTAGACAGTAAAGCTGACGTTTCAGCTGCTTGTATATTGCTTTCCCTGCCCCTCTCCCTCCACCATTCCCCAGTCAACATGCTAATGTAAACCTTTCCATTACAGTAAAAACATTACACACAGAGAACTCATCACTGGGTCTCTGTGCTTCTCTTTCTGATCCAGGCAGATCACAGCAAGTGGTAAAGATTGCTAACATGGCGGTGCCCTGTTGGAGCATAAAGAAGAGGAGTGGATATATTGGTTAGGTACTTTGGATCCCAGGGGTTTGAACGTAGATTGAAAAAGTTTTTTTTAAATATATATATATAATGCTGTGACCAGGGGCGGTCTGACAACTCATGGGGACAATAGGGGATCATGGGCCATGTGTCCTCATCCACACTCAAACCACTCCCAAAAAAGCCTATGAAAGGTACCAGGGGCATCTCATGGGGCCCACTACTGACCCCGGGCCCTTGGGCAGTGCCCGAGTTTCCAAATGGTCAGTCCACCCCTGGCTGTGATGCTGAAGCTTGTGCCCATTTTGTATTTCAATGCTTTTATGAATTTATAAACATTTTAAGAAGACAGGAGCAATAAAGCATGCCCACGTGGGAGCTATCAATTGCACATAAAATTAAAAAAAAAAAAACAGTGCTCTAACTCCAACAGATCAAAAGGTGCGCCCATGCAGGGGCTATCAATGGCACTTAAATGAGTTTGTGCCCATTTTAATACTTTATTTAGGGATCCGAGTTGGGTCCAGGGGAAGACTGACCATTCAAGAACTCAGACACTGCCCAAGGGCCCAGGGTCAGTAGGAGGCCCCATGAAATGCCCCTTTTTTTGAGTGTGGGCAAGGACACAGGGGCCCCATGATCCCCTATTGCCCGGGGGCCCCATTAGTTGTCAGTCTGCTCGAGGTTGGGTTCTAATAATCATTTTAGTCTTGTTCTATTTTATGAGTTTTTATTTTATTATAGAAATTATTTTATACAACTTATAAAAATTAGGAGCAGTATTAAAAGTCTGTTCCCTTTTCCTCTTTATAGAAATCCACCCCTGTGCCTGTGTGTAATATTTTACATATAGGACACACTGATTGTGAAAGAGCTGTGGCTGCATGTCTTGATCAGACAAATCAAGAGAGACATGCTTTGTACCTTATAATCATGATCTCAGTGTGGGATACAGAGGTTTCTGCAAGAGCTGATCTGTGAGGTGGACACAGCAAAAACACGTTCAATTAACAGAATTACTTTTTGTATTTAGGAGAAATTTGTCCTCAGGACATTTTTCTTAACTCTTCTGTGGACTGTCAGTATTACATTTTCCTCTCCTCCGATTGGCTAAGACAGAAAGGCAGGCTAATAACGTCACAAATTTGGCCTCAGCCAATCAGAGGAAGCTTTGTATTCATTATTATAATACAAAGTCACCTCTGAATGGCTAAGCAGTGCTCAGCCTGGCCTAATTTTGTTCTAGCAGTGGCATGGGAAGTTCTCATCCAACTACCAGAACACAATGCTGTATACCAGGGGTAGACAACCTAAACCACTTGCCCTCCAGAGGATTTACCCCCCCTTCCTAACCAGGCCATTTCTTTTGTGATACGGCAGCACGTTGTCGCTTTAACTGACAATTGCGCAGTCATGCAACGCTGTACATAACTGAAATATATGTAATTTTTGTCCCCACAAATAGAGCTTTCTTTCGGTGGTATTTGATCATCTCTGCCTTTTTTATTTTTTGCACTATAAATTTGAAAAAAAAAACCCAATATGTTCAAATTTTTGCTATAAAACATATTCAATACAAAAAAATTAAAAAATACAATTTCTTCATAAATCTAGGCCAAAATGAAACCCCCTTGCATGTCTTTGCTAAAAAAAAAATCCCAATACGTGTAAATTAATTGCTTTACATGAAAGTTATAACATCTACAAATGGAGGCGTATATATACTGGAATTTTTATTTTGTATATACTAGTAATGGCAGTGATCAGCGACTTATAGCGAGACTGTGGTGGGCATTATGGCACGGGGGGGAACTGAGTAACTGCCACTGACATCCCCAGTGACACTAATACAGTGCTCAGTGCTAATAAAAACACTCTCTGTACTAATGACACTGGGCAGGAAGGGGTTAACATCTGGGGTGATCAAAGGGTTAACTGTGTGTTGTGTTGTGCCTACACTGTGTGCTGTTTTGCTGTGAAGAGAGAGAGAAAGCAGCATGTCCATGCTGACAGGAGAGAAATCTGTGTTGTGTACACACAGATCTCTCCCCTCTCAGCTTCATTGGCAATCACCGAGTGCCGTCTGAGAATCGCCGTGCAGGACTTGGTGATTGACGTGCGAGCCCCCTACCCAGAACTGCAAAACCATATATATATATATATATATATATATATATATATATATATATGTGATTCTGCGCAGAGCAGCCGCTCTGCAGCGGTGTGTGCTATAGGGAGCTATAGGGAGGTAAGCAAGTGGTTAAAGAGGTGGAGATCTACTTAAACAACATGGAAGAAGTCAACGATCCCCAGGCACAGTGTTGCCTCCTTACACCTAATTTAAACTTCTAATTTCCATACTACCGTGTCGCAATTGCATGCATTGCATGCAATCATGGGTTTAAATCAAGTGATGTGGAGGCAATATATCGCCTCTTCACCATCTGTAAATCACACTTGGATTACTTTTCAGAGGAGCAGTGGTGCCTGCTGCACTTGTGAATGAGCCCTTAATTGCATTCAGCAGCAGGCTTACGGCTCATTCACATGTAAAGTTGGAGGGTGGTAAAGCTTTGCGGTTGAGTAGCAGTTTTACCCCCTGGTCACATCAAGCCCGACTTTGAAATCGTGCGACTTACAGTGCAGTCGCACGATTTCAATGTCGGGGACATGCCGATTTCAGGTGTAACTTGCAAGACATCTGACACAGATGTCTATGCAAATTGCACCAAAATTAGTACTTGTACTACTTTAGAAATCGGTGCGGCTCCGACCAAGTCAGAACCGCACCAATTTGATCTCTCTAATTGCGGACAATAGGGTGCGACTTGGCATGCGATTTCCATGTTGCATGGCATGCAAATCGCATACCAAGTCACACCCAATGTGACCAGGGTGTTACTGAGACAGCAGCCAAAGGTATACACATGCCACAGCAATAAATTAAACCTGGTCTTAACAGAAACCCAATCTTTATGCCTGTATCTGAAATGAAATTTCCTTGCATGATAATTTCCTTACATAATTTCTTACATAACAAAGAAGGGGAAACATGCTTGTAGCTATATTCTGGAGTCAGTCAAAAAACTAGATGTGTTTAACCTCTTGGCGCCGGCCGAACGCAAATGTGCGGCCTCCCGGCGTCTGGGCCTAGACACCGAGCGACCACACATTTGCGTTCTATTAAAAAAAAAACATATGTGCTGAGAGCGCATGCCCTGCGCGCTCCCAGCACACATTTCCATACTCACGGAAAGGTCCCGATCTCCTATTTTGATCGGGACCCATCCACCGTCACGGCGGTCACATGACCCTAAACCCCGCCCCGCCTCTCGGCTTTTGAAACCCTTAAAGGGCCGGGAGGCGCCGGTGTCAAGGGGTTAAGATAGGTGATGAAACTTATTCTTTACGATTCCAAGTGGAAGATGGTGAAGACTGATGTCTCTAACAATGTTTAAAAACAATCCCATACCTTTTTGAAGCATGTGGATGTGTCACATACTGGATGGAGATTGAGCTGGAGAGGATGTTTCTCTTGTACCTCTCATTCAAGATCCCTGGTAGTGATGACAGGAGGTGTGAGGACACAGAATAGCATGAGGGCCAGTAAAACAGGCAGCACCAGTTGCTGTTTGCAGGAAGCAGGAACATGATGACATTTGATTGTCAGACAGGAGCGTAGCCAGGACACAAGCCAAAGGGTCACCAACAGCCAAGGAATGAGGTACCTCAGGCAGAGGCAGGATACAAGCCGGGATTGGTACAGAAACGTACAGAGTCGGGCCTAGGTACAGGAGAGCAAAACAGGAGCAGATTCAGAATACACGTTGAGGTCACAGCAGGCAGGCAGAAACACAAAGACAGATCAGGAGCAAGCCGATTAGTACATGGGTAGGCAGGTAAGGCAGATCAAGGCTCAGGTAAAGCAGGAATTAGCTAAAGACCACTTAGTTAATCCATTCATGTCATATTCCAGCTTAAATAGGCCATATAGCACCAATGCGCATGTTAATACATTTGCGTGTATGTGGCAATGCCCGTTTTGCAGTGAGCTTTTGCTCAGAATTATGAGTATGCACATGAGCATTGGCATAACCATGTAAGCAGTGGGGGGGGGGGGGGGGGTGCGGCCCACACGGGGTGACACCTACCGCACCGGGTGACACCAGACCCGCTCCACAAAAAGGTAAGATGTAAAGCAAGCCGACGATCCCCACAGGATAGATCGGATCTGCAGATTCAGCATAATGGATCGGATAATCCTGAGAGCTAATCCTGTCCTCAACCTGAATTAAACCTGACATGACCCGCTGAACAACTACTGCATCAATTAGCTGTGAAACCTGAGCTTCAATCCGCACCGCACAAGTCTCACAGTCCTCTCTTCATTTCCTCTGTAAAAGTAGTGCCATTATTTTCACAATGTACAGTATTGTTGAACTCAACAGCAAGAGAGAAGGTTTAGGGGTGCAGGATACCCCAAAAATACAAAAAGAGGATGAGTACTCAGAAGTAACAATATTAACAATAATAGGCACTTTAAGAGCAGCCAGGCTGATTCTTGTCCCTGTAATCAGCCATGGTCTTTCCTTTAAATCACACTGGATCTCTATCTCTAATAAATGTGTTAGTTGACCATCTGATAGCAGTCAAAGATACCTTGATCTGTAGGCAATCAATCATTCTTGAAATGTCCAGACAGTAGCTTCTGCTAACCAGTTCTTCTTACAGATGCTCCTTCCTGGCAGCCATCTGCACGTCCAGCTCCCTCAGGGTAACACCCTCCATCAGTGCAGCTAAAGTCATGGGCAGGGTCGGACTGACAACTCATGGGGGCCCACGGGCAATAGGGGGTCATGAGGCCCCTGTGTCCTTGCCCAAACTCAAAAAAGCCTATGAAAAAGGTACCAGGGGCATCTCATGGGGCCCCCTACTGACCCTGGGCCCTCGGGCAGTGCCCGAGTTTCCAAATGGTCAGTCCGCCCCTGGTCATGGGCCTCCAGTATGTGCCCCATGCTGATACTAGGCTAAAGTAGAGATCCTGTAAACAAGAACCCTCTCTAGGCAGAAACCCGGAGCTTGATAGTACTCTGACAAGGATCTCAGAATATTTATAATCTCATAGTCCATACATCTGGATAAGCTCCCCATGAATTGTTGGGTCAGATACATGATTTCCTTCCCAAAAACTTCCTTCACAGTAACAGGCAGAAGCAACCAACCCACTGAGATTAGGGAAGACCTGCAGAGTGTAGAAAAAGTCAATCAACAGTTCACACTGGATACAGCCTAGGAACAATAAACGCCATATTTAGTTAGGCCACAATTGCAAAGGGCAGAATCCCTACATTTTCTTTCTATAAGTCCTTTGACAGTCTCAGCTATAGTCACAAGTGCCAGGCCAGCATTTAGCCTACAATTTGGAGCCAGGAGCTCCAACGTATTGATTGGAACTTTCCCTAACTATAGCATTGCTAGCAGTGATTGTCACAACCAGGGTTCTATGGGACCCTAGGGTTCCTCCAGAGGTTGCTATGGGTTCCTTGAGCAATGAGCAATTTCTGCCTCTCAGCAATTCTTTCCAATGTCCACCAGCATAAGGAACATTCTTCCTACTGACAATCACACTATTGTATGAAGAGTTGTATATATAGTATTTTACGCAGGGGTATCCTAACACCGGTAAGTTATTTCAAGGGTTCCTCTGTGTTGAAAATGTTGAGAAATCCTGTTCTAGCATAATGTTCCTGATGTGCATCGTATGAAAATTCGTACAAAAGAGTCAAGGTAAGATAATATAGGCTTCAGATGCTCAGCAGCCCTATGAGAAGCGGATCTTATCTCATAAGCACAACAGAGTACCTGTCAAATGCAACATTAGGGTAGTCCTACAAGGATTAAATAAGAACAATTAAAGTGTTACTAAACCCACAACAGCAGCAAAATCAGTCTGTATATGAAGTAAAGCATGCTTGTTATACTCACTATGGAACCTAGGGGGTTAACCCACCGCATTGTATAAAAAGGCTTTTTGATTCTGTCTTCTCTGATCCTCCCCTTCTTCTACTGTCCCCAATCTATCTGCTGATAGTACAGAGCCCTAGGAGACACTCTGCACATGCTCAATTTGGTGTGTATTGCTAGAGAGTTTTTTTTTTTTTTTTTGGGAGGGTGTATGTGATTGGCATAGGGTCAATCAGCACTGTCCAGACAGAGGATCAGGGGTCATGCAGCCTCATAGGACAGGCAGAGGAAAATGAAAACTCCTCCTACAAGCTTTAACATGTACTCTGCTGGACACTGAGAGAAGTCATAAGACTGCTCTAACTGCTGATGAGAAAAGGTATTTAGCAGTTTATACTTACTAAAATAATTGCATTTCCATGTTCTGTGCACTGCGGGAGACCAGATACAGCGAATGCAGGGTCCTGGGTTTAGCCTTAACTCAATCATTTATTTTATTTATTTATTTATTTATTTCAGGTACTTATACTTTACATACATGTATTGTACATTCACAGCAGTCCCTAACCCTCAAGGGGCGTACAATATAAGGTCCCTAACTCACATTCATACATACATATAATAGGGCCAATATAGGCAGGATCCAATTAACCTACCAGCATGTCTTTGGAATGTGGGAGGAAACAGGAGTACCCAGAGGAAACCCATGCAGGCACAGGGAGAACATGCAAACTCCAGGCAGGCGGGGCTGTGGTTGGGATTTGAACCGACAATCCTAGTACTGCCAGGCAGAAATGCTAACCATATTTATTAATGTTGACGTTTAGACAGCTCGGTTCGGCTTGGGTAGCAGTGAGAATTGGAAACACGAAACCTTATTAGCTGATCTTCACTTTTCATCAAGTTTTATCAAATAATTCCACTTTTGCTAGGATTCCTTCAGATTAGTAATACTACAAAGGACATGCTACCTTTATCAAGTGCTTATTTCATATCACACACAACTGGTTATTTGTTTCTGGTAACAGCTCTACTTTTGTTGGACTTCTTTGCCACACTTTTCATAACTATATCTATGTTACAGCATTAGGCAATTAAATAAAAGCAGTCTCTTTTAATATTGATATCCAGTAGATGGCAGCATTTACGTAACAATCAGTTTAGAATGTAACTAGTAAAATATTGACTTGCCTAAAAACATGTGGATACTTGTATCTATTGTAGGTTTTTTGCTGAGCACTTTGAGGATTAGTATATTTACATGTGTTTTGTTATTATGCTTAAAGCAGGTCTAGACAAATCCTTATATGAAAACAGTGGTTCTTATTCAGTATTATCGATAGTATTATTAATATTCTTAGTATCAATATTACTACTGCATCATGAACATTAATTCCCTAAATGTTTATAGCACGAACATATTACACATAAAAATATTTAAAAAAAAAACATTAAATATGTATATCTAAAATATTGTGAATATGAGAAAACATACTTGTGGACCTTATGCAAAAAAAACAAAACAATAAATATGCTTATGTACCATTAAAACTGCAAAAGATAAATTATAACCTGCCATAATTTTTGATAATAAAAATACTGAACAATAAAAAACATTCACATTAGTCCCTGCCCCAAAGCAGCCTACAATTTATCATGCTTTGCAAACTCAGACAGCAAGGCTAAACTGTACAGTAGACTCATGTCTCCAATTTATCAGACTATCGCCTACTCTGCTCACCTTTAGGCGATATCTGAAAACCTATCTCTTCGGGGAAGCCTATCCTGCCATCAGCTAATAATGGAATCTTCTCTTCCTCCTACCAGTCCATCCCCCACAGTTGTTACCTTTTGTACCACTAGCCCTCCCTATTAGATTGTAAGCTCCAAGGAGCAGGGCCCTCCTAACCCTCTTGTATTGAGCTATATTGTTGCTGTATTGTCTCCCATTATATTGTAAAGCGCTGAGCAAACTGTTGGCGCTATATAAATCCTGTATAATAATATAGGCAATGACCTTTGGTCAGCCCAAAGACAATCGCCTATACGCAAAGTCTGGAGTACATCCATGATATAGTTAGTGGCTCATTGTGCTAGCTATATGTTCAGATAACATATTGCAGCAAATAAAACACCCAGACTATGGGTCATATGGGTGATCTTCAGTTTGTACTTACCTTTCTTTTTCTTAGCTTTCTTTTTATTATTTTTAACATAATCTAGGACATGATTGGCCTTTCTAAATTGTCTGGTTTTATTATTACCTTTTCTTTGGGTTGTGCATGTGAAAGGCAAATTACAATATGTTCCCATTCCTCCTGTAAACTATCCTCAGGTCCCTAATAAGTTCTCCTCACTAATAGGCTATTACTTCGGTAAGCACATTGGTCTGCTGACAGTGACTATTCAAACAAAAATGGTGAGCTTGGCAAACACACAACCAAATGGGAACAGACAAATGCAGCTTTGTGAGGATTAGACATAACTGGGATTTGTGATTCAATGCAGAGAGATGTAAATACAAATATTAAGGGTGTCTAACCCTTGACAGTCTTAGATAATTTAGTTTTTTTTCTTTTAGTTGGGAGATCTAAATGACCAGCACCCACATGTATCCCTTATGCAGGGGCAGGGCAACCATAAAGCAGCTTAGGCAGCCACCTTAGGGTGCCAGAATGGGGGATTGGACAGTAAAATATGAATCTCCAGTCATTTGCTGGAGATTCACATTTTTTATGTGCTTTAGACGTGCTTTTAACACACTCCTGGCTGGTATACCAGCCAGGAGTGTGTGTAATTTGTGAAGCCTGCTGTCGGCTTTCAATATGGAGGTGATACAAGTGGCTGTGAAGTCGATGACCTCTTCCACAACCTCCTCAATGTGCAGACCCCTTCGCACGCATGTTCAACCCGCCATTTTTACCAAGCTTCGCAGTCCCACCCAAAATGCACATTCCCTTGAGTAGACAAAAATCCTTGCACTGGCCCTGCCCTTATGGCCGCTGCAAGCCGCAGGTCTTGAGATACATAGCAGGAAACAATCAGCTGGTGCTGAGATGTTGTTTGTGTAATTTCCTTATAAAATGCCCTGATATTCTGTTCAATATTTACCTAAGCTGCTCAATTTATTTGCAATACTTAGCACTTTTAAGTGGGAAGAATGTAATACGTGTAATTAATGTAGTTAAACCACACATGGACCATTTTTTTCCTAGATCGCTGAATCCTATAAACATTTAATACATTATTCGTGTGCCTCCATGTGTTCCTGACATAGCAGAACCACTTAAAATATAGGTCACTCTTTATATATATTTTTAGATTTTTTTCATACAATATGTACAAAATAATAATGCACTGTTATGCCTCTCTTTCATATCAGGCGTTTATTTTATTCTTCAAAGACTAGCGGATGTTCTGGGCCAGGTTTCCCATGAATATGACCTATATATGTTTGCCTTTTTAAGAGGCTATTGAATATGTCTGTATAAAATTACAAGGACTTGGTTATACAATAAATAGTGCAATCCTCAAGCCTGAATAAACAGTAAGGTTTTATGCTGACAGGAACACATACGGAGAACAGAGAGCTGGGCCTTTGAGGAAGCCTTCATTCTGTACTCATGGTGAGAACACGGGAGGACACAGTTGAGTGCCATTGATTTAGGAGCTATTACTTGTGATCTCTTCACTTTTCTTATATTGTTTTCTTACCTGCTGTAGTGTCTCATGCAGTGAACATTTACTGAATCAAAGAATCTTGGCTTGCAATGCAGTGGTGTATTGCTAAATGCACAGCAAGCTTTCTAAAGGGTCAGAGAAGGTGTCTCTCTACCAATATTATACAAAGCTTTCATTTAAATAGTAAAATAGCACAAACATAAAAAATATTCACGTATTGAAATCATTGAAAAACAGAACAAAAATAGATTAGATTTCAATTAATTAAAAAGCACATCTTAGTAAAATAAATGTGAAGGGGTTAAATCTCCAGCGTATTTCAGAGCATTTGTCATAATTAGGGATGAGCAAATGTGCTTGGTTTCCCTTTTGTGGGATGTATGTGGGACAAGCATAAAGTCCAATATCCAAGGGATTGT